AGTGTGAGAAAAGCCTGGGGCTGCACAATGCTGAAGTGCAAGGCTGTTTAATTCCTAGTGCCTCTCTAACTGCAGGGGTAGGGCTAGCTATTCCATTTACCATACACTCCTGTAGTCTTCAATCTTGTTCCTGGTGGTTCCATTTAGTGCTCTGATGCACAGAAGAAATGAGATAAAAGAAAAGTGAAGAAAAGGAAAGAGCGGGAAAAATGAAAGAAAAAATGGAAAACTCATCAATTGTCGGGGAAAAAGCAGTTTGTGTCAGCAGAATTTACTGCTGCACTGTGGCATCTTCTATTTGGAGGAAGCAAAAGAGGTAGGGAATCTTATATCCCAAGTCTACCTGTATGGCTTGACTTAGCCACACTATTTTAGTATATCCTTTTTTCTTCTTCTTCTTTTAAGATTCCAAGTATGGCAGGCAGTCGTCCTGATCTGGTGACCTACCAGCAGCCAAGTGGGCTAGCTGACCATTTTATTAAATCTTTTATCTGTATTTTGCTTGATCTATGTGTCTCTTATGTCAGATTGATTTTAGTTTCAGGGTGTAAGTCACTCCACTTTCTTCCAATTACCTGGGTTTTAGTTGAAGTTTTTGAGTAGCTCTGAAGAAAGCTCCTCCTCTATTCAGCCATGCTGTCCCCTCTCCTAGGAAATCTTAAACAATGTGATTAACACTAAATTTTGATAAGATACAGTTGACAAGGAAATAAAATATTGGTATATGAAGAAAATGTACATATATTGTTTAAAATACAAAAGAAAACCCAAAACCAAACCCTGGAAACTATGTGAATCATGTTTATGAAGGAATGATTTGTTTAATATATATTATATAGTTGCTCTGAGTTGAACATTGTATAATGTATACATGTATAGATACATCACATGGTATCCAATAAATATATATTGTTTTAGTTGTTAAACTAAATATAAAAATTTTAAAAACTATATACATACATATGCCATGGGCTATAATTAATTGAAGTTTTGCCAGTAGCATTGAAGAAATGCTGACAAAGATTATTACAGAAGGAAAGTAAACTGCATAGAAATGTCAGAAGTTCCAGTTTTATAAAATTAGCATCTGTATCAGTCAGTGCTTACTATACATGTATAGATACATCACATGGTATCCAATAAATATATATTGTTTTAGTTGTTAAACTAAATATAAAAATTTAAAAAACTATATACATACATATGCCATGGGCTATAATTAATTGAAGTTTTGCCAGTAGCATTGAAGAAATGCTGACAAAGATTATTACAGAAGGAAAGTAAACTGCATAGAAATGTCAGAAGTTCCAGTTTTATAAAATTAGCATCTGTATCAGTCAGTGCTTACTAGAGAAGCAGATTTAATGCAAGATATACAAATATATAAACATTTACAAGGTTCCCTTTTATTTGTTTGTTTGTTTTTGTTTTTCTCCGGTACCGGGAACCGAACTCACGACCTTGCACTTGCCAGGCAGGCGCTTTGCCGCTGAGCTAAATCCCCAGCCCCAAGGTTCCCTTTTAATGGCTGCCCACAGAGTCAGATGTGAAAGAGGGCAAAAGGTCTGCCTGTGCTCTGACAATTTGAAGGATCCAGATGAAGGCTTGGACCTCATTGTAGTCTCTCTTGTGAGTCTACAGGAGGCTGAAGGGTCTTCCCTGGAAGGTTGAGTAGTCTTAACTTGAAGCCAGGAGATGATGTCCAAGGTGACGGTGAAGTCTGAGATCCTCTGAAGAAAGCCTTTCTTCTTTGTTTCCATTTTATCCTATTCTGGTAACAATCCTCCCTAGGGTAGGTCTTCCACACCCAGAACTATGCTGAGCCAATTTAGTTGGGCATTTCTTACTCAAGTTGACACAATGAGTTAACTATCACAGCACCCTAATCATCAATAGCTATATATATTTATAAACTGTGGCCTGAAATTGAAAATAAAATATAGAGGCTACATACCAGGTTATTTAATTTTGGTCACTTGCATGTGATGGGTCAGGCAATAATAGTGAAGAGGGACAAGTAGAAAGAAATAAAATATTAGCTCTCTGTTACTGTGACAAAATACCTGAGGCAATCAATTTTTACAGAAGAAAGTTTGGGTTCACAATTTCAGAAGTTTCAGTCTGTGGTCACTTGATCTTATTGCTTTTAGTCTGTGCTTGTCATGGCAGGAACATATGGTGGTGGAGACTGTTCATCTCATGGCAGCCAAGAATCAGAGAGAATGTTATGGTTTAGATCTAAAATGTTCCTTCCCGAAGTCTCATGTGATTAGAAAGTAACTGGATAATGGGAGCTGTACTCATGAGTGGATTCATCCATTGATAAGTTCAGTAGTGGAGTGTACTGAGAGTGTTAGGAGGTGGGACCTGGCAGATGTGGTCCCTGGGAGACTGACCTGGAAGGGTGTATTCTTGTCCCCAGCTCCTCCCTTCTCTCTCTGCTTCCTGGCTGCTATGGTTGAGCAGTTTTGTTCCACTATGAGCTCTCCCCCATTAAGTTCTGGGTGTTAGGTATTATATACCAGTGACAGGAAAGTAACTAATACGGAAACCTGATACCACAAATACAGTTGTTGCTGTGACTACACCTGATCATGAGCCTTTGGAACTGGTTTGTGAGAAGAGTATGGAAAAGTTTGGAGATGCAGGCTGGAGAAGCCTTAGAATGCTGTAAACAGAGCCTGATGAGTGATTTTAGTCAGAAGTCAGAAGACCAGAATGCTGATAAGAATGTGGAGAGTAAAGACCAGCCTCATGAGGTTTCAGTTGGGAGTAAGCAGTCCATTGGCACTTAGACTAGGGCCCATGTGTGTTACACTCTGGCAGAAAATTTTTCTTCATTTTGTGTATGTCCTGTGACTTCACAGGAGACAAAGGACAATGGATTAATTGATCTGGTAGAGGAAATTTCAAGGAAGCCCAGTGTCTGGGCTGTGGTATGAGTACTGTAGATTGCTTTTTTGCCAGATCTACAGTGAGAATCAGCACCAAAAAGCAGATGTAAAAAATTTGCTATTTCACCAGAGAGGAAGGAAGCACTTGCAAAGTTGGGGCCATGGAAAATGGATACAACTGGAAAGTATAATGTTGATTGAAACAAACCAGACACACAAGTTTAAATATCATATAGTATCTCTCATTTGTGTGAGACAAAATACAAACAAAGAGAATAATGAAAGATGACTAGAAGGGGACAAGGGAATGGATCTCTTGCAATACAGAAGTAGTCCAAGGGAAAAAGGGCAAGGGGCGAGGAGGAGAGAAAGGATGAATAAGTAGAATAAAGATATGCCATGTACAAGAACCTAATAACCCCAGTGAATATAAACATTATATGCCATAACATGAGCTAAGATTAATAGTATAGTATCAACAAGAATGAAAATCAGAATAGGGGAATTAGAGGAGAGAGGAGGGGGAAAGGAAAGGGAAGGGGATAAAAAAAAAAAAGAAACAAGCTATAGTATATGTACCCAACTCCCCAAGATGATGGTAAACTCCATGTACTCCAAACATGTACTAATAATAAAACAACAACAACAATAACAGCAACTAAGTTGGGCCCATGGAGAATGTGGTTACTGGAAAGATTAACATTAAAAAGAAGCCAAGTACTTTGCATTAGGACAATAGGAAAGATGGTTTGAAAACATCCCAAGAATCAGGAAGACTCCATTGTAGCCATGATCCCAGGAGGCCTGGCCCCTGCTTGAGCTGGCCACAGACCTTGGTATTATCCATGTGGTGCTGGTTTTACAGGCATACAGAATACAAGAGTTATGGAATTATGGAAGTTTCCACCCAGGTTTTAAAAGAAGGTCTGGAAGGCCAGACAGTGCACCCTTGAGAGGGCAGCGCATGAAGCTCTGACAGTGAAGCTGAAGGTTCAGGAAGACCTCAGGAAATTGGATATGCCAGGAACATGGAATATATGCTGAGAAAAATTGCAGACAATGAATTTATATACATGCCAGCCCAAGAGAGAGACCATGTGGGCTGCAACCCTCAAGGCTACTGGGATGTTAGATTTAACTTTCTTTTTGATTTGTACAGGGCTCACAGCTAAGTGTTTGCCTTGAGTCAGAAGAGTCTTTGCACTTGGAGTTTTCAGGAACACTGAACTCTTAAGACTTTGGCAATGCTTAGAGATTAACTAAATAAATTTTGCATGATGAGATGGACAGGAATCTCTTGGGAACAGAATGTTATAGGTTAGATCTAAAGTGTCCTCCCAAAGTCTCATGTGTTTGGAAAGTGATTGGATCATGGAGGTGCTATACTCATCAGTCAATTTAGCCATTCCAGTTACTCAAGAGGCCAAGGCAGGAGGATGATGAGTTCGAGTCTAGCCTGGGCTACTTGGCAAGACATTGTCTCAAAATTGAAATATAAAAGGGCTGTGGATGTAGTTCAGTGGTAGCTCAGCTCTTGAACTTCATTCATTTCACAGCTCTGGAAAAGATGGCTACTTTCTTATTTGTGTGAGAAAGATGGCCATGGTCATGTTCATAGTCCAATGCACAGTTCACAAACAAACCCAAAATTTTGCCAAATACTTCTGTTTTTGTTTTGAACATTTTTGTTTGTGAACCGAGGCACCACTGTACTTGCTTAGCATGCAGGGGTCCTGAGTTCAATCCCCAGTACCACATATACAGATACCAAAGCAAAAGATCAAAATGACAGCAAAAGTCAAATTCTCTCCCTCCTGGCAGGTCTGTAGAACATTTATATCAAACTGCACACACTTGTGCATATATATATACAGTAAATAAGGAGAAGGGAAGAATAAATATAACTATAAATAAGGATCTATATAATGTCCTTCCCTATGACAGGACAATTCATCTGTGTCACTGACACCACATTGTTATAGGACTTACTTTGTTTTTGTTTTTTCTTTTTTTTTTTTGGTTTTTCTCTGGTACCGGGAACCGAAATCACGACCTTGTGCTTGCCAGGCAAGCGCTTTGCCGCTAAGCTAAATCCCCAGCCCCAGGACTTACTTTGGCCAGTGGAAGTCAAGGGTGTCATTTCCTAACATTAGTTTTAAGAGCCATCACATTGCGTCCAATTTCCTTCTCACTCTCTAAAACCAGCATGCCCCACACAGGTGCTGCTCCTTTAGCAGGGGCCCTGGAACTAAAGACAACATAGGGATTATGGTCAAAGTCAACCATTGCAAATATGTGAGTAAAAGATAAACTTAAAAGCAGCTGAGATTGTTGGACTGTTTGTTACTGTAGCAAAACTTGATTAAAACTGATGGACACAACTTTCTAGCTTTAAGGGACTTAAATGCTGGTTTTGATAGGGCCTCCATGCTTTTCTGACCAACTCTGGATTTATGTAGGACTTCTGGAGGGTGGCCAAGGAGTAAATGATTATTGATTATCCTTCCTTTGTGCAAGACTCAAGTTGAAGGTATTTCAGGTAAGCTAGAGTGAATGTAGAGTGAGCTTACTTGAAAATGTATTTCAAACAAGTCATTCTGGACTCCTTGGAGATTCATTCAGATACTAGCTTGTATGGCTGAATTATAGCCAGGTTGTTGAAAGCCAACATTTAGACCTGTGTTCTCATGAAATGTCCTTAGAATCTAAGGTCAGAAGGCACTGTTGGGACTGGAGATGAAGCCTCAGTTTGGGATATTTTAGTAGTTCTTGGTAGGAAAAGCGTGAGTTGGAGGGAAGGGGAGGAGAGAGAGATTCTAGCTCTGAAGAGGTCACTCTTGTTTTTTTCTTTCCTCACAATTCAAGCTGATTCCATGATGGAAGTTATCAATCTGCCAACAATAGCACTTCTTTTCCCCAAAGCACAAAATTCAGTGTCTGCAGACTGCATTCCACTGGAGAAGTGGCTGCACTCAGAATGCGTTCGGGATCCAGCTGCAGTTCAGTGCAGATGGAGTCAACAGTTTGCAGCAGCTCTTCAAGGAGTACAGGCTGGAATTTCCTCCTGGGATGACCTGGCCAGGCCCTTTGACCACAGCGCTGGAGGAGAAGAACAACAGTGAAGCCGTTAGTTGAGCCTTGGACAGTAGACATAGTAGGTGAGGAGACGATAACATGCGGAAAGACACAGGGCCGGGTGCAAATTTCCTTCTTCACATTCAGGTTAGGGTGGGTGAACAACAGAGGCTCCAGGGAATTCGTTTTGGCTCTCAAATTCTGGGTAGCCTCAAGGACTTCCCCTGCTTCCTCTAGAGTAAACACAGAAGGCATAGAATCAATCTGTATAAAGCACTTGCTCTTTAAGGACAGCAGCTGTGAGGGAGGATATTGATTTTTGTGTATAGAAATTGCAGCTTGTGAAGGTGGCTGGCCTGGGTCACTGGTGGCCTGTCATCCACTACAGCCCCTCATGTGTTATCAGGGAGACCTCGATTGCTTTGAAAGGGAGGCTATGGAAGTAGGAAGGAGGCATAGGAAGGAAAGAAGGCAGTAGAAGTTGTGCTTTTGGGAAGGAGCTATGGATGCTAGCAAAATGCAAGGAGCTATGCTAATTAAGGGGGGATTGGTAATTTAGGGTAGTGATGGGCTTCCTGGACAGATGTGCCTGAAATTTTTATCTCAACTATGCTGGTGCTAATTTTGCTTGAGTGGACATAGCCTCCCTATGTCAACAGTATATCAAATGCAAAACAAAACAAACAAACAAAAAAATGGATAGTGCCCAGCTTTTGCAGAGATTGCAAGGCATAAGTGTGCTAATTCATGCCAAGTACTTAATGCATGACTGGGCGCATACTAAATACTTGAGCAGTGCTATTGAGTATTTTAGTTTCTAGTCTTATCCAAGAGAAGTCAAAGCAAACAAGTGCTACAATTTCTGTGCAAGTACTTACATGAAAATAAGAATTATAAGGTTATAAAAGTAAGAGCAAAGTAAGTGCAAAGGTCTTTAGGTTAGATTTGGTTATTAATAAGTGAGTATAAGAAATTATAATTGAGAATACAATACCTGTGCAGTAGGCTTTGGCAACAAGTTACCACTCCGGTTGTGTTGCTAGGTAAAGTGGAGTTGAAGGCGTTCTCTAAGATGTGGTGGCAGTTGATATCCACAGGGGTGCTGGAGAGTAAGCCTAGAATGGGACAGAGTGCCATTCACTGTATTTTCACAATTAGTAAACCTATGGAATTCTCCTTCTGTTCTTAGCTTCTCCACACTGCTTCACGGATTTAGCTTTGCATGTGCTTTCTACAGCAGCATATGTTGTCATACATCCGGGAGACCCTGCCTCCCCAAAGCTGCTGTCCCATAGGCACCAGGACACCAAGGACAGGATGCCACACCTGCAACACAGGCTGTCATGAAGCAGGCCACGGTCCCTGCGATCAGAGCTCGGATGGCCCCGGAGGCGATGTCGCGCTTTCTGGAAGGAGCCATGGATGCTGCAGAACATGAAAGGAGGTATTTGAGATTGATGTTGAAGCTACTGATTAGAAACCCAAATCTGTGGCTCTGGAAATTGTTCTGGGCCTGGAGTCCTAGGGCCATTGGAAAGAAATCCTAAGTTCTACCCAAAGGGCTCACAAGCACGGGCAAAGCAAATGGATGGAAGGCAGGGTCAGCCGACAGATGATGGGCAGCCCGGCTGTCACCATCTGCTTGTATGAAGGCAGACAGCACTGATAATCACAGCACTTCCCATCGGCCCTTGGAGCCCTTCTCGGTGGCCACTATAATCTACTGGCGTCAGGTCTTGGGGTGGCAGACACGCCCATACCTTGGAACAAATCTTTCCTGAGGTTGGCCTGGGTGTTTACAGGAAAATTACAGTGCAGAGCTTGGGTCAAAAAATACAGTTGAGGATTTACTGCTGTTACGTGGCCATTTCTCCTCTAACATAAGTAATGTTACAGAGCAAGATGGAGATCCAAAGTACATTTCTGTCACATCTGTTGATAAAGAATATCCTTTCACTTACTGAGTCCACCGATCACTATTCCTAGGGAACCAAAATTGGCGAAACCGCAGAGGGCATAAGTGGCGATTGTCTCAGAACGAATCTGTAAGCAAGCACAAAACTGATGTGATACAAACTGCCTTGGTTTGAGAACTTTGCTACCCCAAAGGGGCTTCACACTGTGGCTACGCAGTCAATACCGACAAACGTGCTGTCTGATACCACTGTGCGTTGTTTCCTGGACTCTTTTTGACTTCCTGCCCTGAAATTTTAAGGGAGGGTGACAAGGAGCTGGGTGGATTCAGAGGTTCTCTACAGGGTACATGGAATTCCATGATCTTTAAAATGTCCTTCCTTATGACAGGACAATTCATCTATGTCACTGATATCACATTGTCACAGGACTTGCTTTGGCCAGTGGAAGTGAAGGGTGTCATTTCCTAACACAAGTTTTAAGAGCCATCATGTTGCTTTCAATTTCCTTTTCCCTCTCTAAAATCAGCATGTCCCACACAGGTGCTGCTCCTTTAGCAGGGGCCCTGGAACTAAAGACAACATAGGGATTATGGCCAAAGTCAACCATTGCACATATGTAATATGAGTGAAAGATAAACCTAAAGCAGCTGAGATCGTTTGGTTGTTTGTTACAAGGTACATGGAATTGGAAGCACTGGCTTCTAGAAATGCTACTTCCTGCTTGTTAACAACTTCTAGCATTCCATATGACCTGGTAACCTGCTGTAATGTGCCAGGCACAGTAGTAGTTGCTGGAGATACAAAATTGATCCTGGAAAATATTTGCATTATGTTTGTTTAACAAAGAACTTATTCAGAATGCACAAAGAACTCCTATAACTCAATAAGAAGACAAACACTAATGAAAAAATGGATCAAAAGGCTTGGATAGTTCACAGAAGACATATAAATGGCCAACAAACACATGAAAAGATAGTCAACATCTAGTCATCAGTGGAATGCAAATTAAAAACACAAGATGCCAGTAAGTTTAGAAAAAGACAACACTAGCTACTGGAACTCATATGTTGCTGATAGAATGTAAAATGGCACAACCCACTTTTGAAATAGTGTAGTAGATCCTTATCAAGTTAACACACACTGCTTGTGTGGCTCAGCAATTTTCCTATGAGAAATAAAAACACATGCCCATGAAAAGACTATGCTTGAATACTGTGGCAGCTTTACTCATAATAGCTCCATACTTAATACAACTCCAATAGAAAAATGTTAAACAGTTTGTGGATATCTGTAACCTGGAATACTGCTCTGTAAGAAAAAGGAAAATAACACATACAACAGTATGAATGCTAATGGGCCCGTTGATTGAAACAGGCAAAAGTAATCTAGAGAGATAGATCACTGATTGCCTGGCAGTTGGTTTTTGGGGTGCAGGAGTTGTTGACTAAGAAGGGTCCTGAGGGAAATTAAGGAATCCTGTTAGTAAAAAGCAAGTTCTCAGGCACAAGAACTCCTTTACATTTTGGCCTTGGTGTGTGCTTACCTTGTTCCCCAGCTCTGATCATCCCCTGGGAGTGTCAGGATGCTCACAGGAAGTGAGGGCATGGGAGTTCTTTGACAAGGCAGTGGGGAGATGGAATGTGGATTTGTGGACCTGTGCACAAGGCCCGTGGGTTCTATTCCAACAGACAACAAGCACGACTTGGGAAACACCATCCTTTCCCAGGTAGAGGGCCTGACTCTGGGGGCTCTGAAGATTCAGGGCTGTTGGTCATCAGAGGCACACCCATGCTGGTAAAGGTGCCCCCATGATAGGGCCCTCATTTTCTTTTCAAATCTCCCAAAAGATCTATAATTTGTTTCAAAGAACCAACTAAACACTACATTTATAAGCACTGTTGCGCTTTTTTTTTCTTCTTGTGCTTACTGGGTTTTTGAAAGCTTATATTCAAGACTCAAGTGGTGGTGGTAAGATTTTTGCTGATTTTCAGATCTCTCTTCTCTCTCACAGCTTCTGAGAAGTCCTTTGTTAATATTTTCATAAGAGGTGCATATAGCAGGCAGGAAAAAAATTGAGTATCGGTGCAGTCTGCTCTTCCTGGAAAAGCCCATCATGTCCCTCCTCTTTCTAGTGCTTTCCATTTAGTGCAATTGGCTTCAAAAATGGGCATACTTATTAGAGACTGTGGGGGCAGAGAGATGAGTATGGGGCTTGTGGTTCCTCTTTCTCCATACGGGGACCTTAGGGGGAGCACACACACGTGGCCATGTATGATTTTAACAGAAGAGGAGAAGGAGGGTGGAAGGCCTTGGCCCCAAAATGTGAAAGACTACATGATGGAAAGATGCACTGCACTAGGGAGTACTAATGAGGTGCTCAGTGCTTGTATGTAAGCAAAAATGCTACACGTAGAAGAACGACAATTGTAGCACAACTTCTAATAGCAAAAAATGGCCAGCAGTGCTCCTCAGTAAGGGGCAGCATAACAGGGCGAACTGTGGTATGTGGTGCAGTAGAGTGTTATGCCATAGGCAATGATAGGGAAGGGTGTCCAGTACATGCTACGGAGTGCAAGGTTAAATATGCTGGGGCAGAGGCGCTGGGTGGCAGAGAAGTGGGGAAGATGGCTTACTTTTCCCCTATGCCTTTTATATTTTTTGTTTGTTTGAGGTAGAGTCTTGCTATGTAGTCCAGGCTGGCCTTGAACTCACCATGGAGCCTAGGCTAGCCTTGAACTTGTGGTGATCCTCCTGCCTCTTGAGGGCTTGATTACAGGCATGCACCACCACCCCTACCTTCCTTTTGTATATTTTGACTTATATTATGGCATGTAGTGCCTATATTACATGGTATATAAATGTGCAAGGTATTCTGTTTAAGAAAGAAAAATAACATAGTAAGAAAGCATTCATTCTCTGTATGTGGGTGCTAATGTATATTCTGATCTTTTAGCTTAGGTGGACTTAAATAATGGACATAATTCAAGAATGACACTGGAGTTTTGTCTGTTGGACCCACATCATGAGCTTCAGTCTCCTGGTACATGTGTCCCAGGATAATGTTGGGACCCATCCCACCACTTGTTAGTTGGTAGCAGAGATCCCTGTGGCTTGTCCCCATCTTCTTGGATGGAGATCAGGAATTTGGAGTAACAAAATGCTGTAAAATGCTATTCCTTTCATGGCTCAGCAGTAGTAGGGCCATTGAGCTTGTGTCCCCACATTTCCTGCCATTGACTGGGCTCACCCTTAAACATAAACCAGCTCTACCTTCTGTCTCTACCTTCTTAACAACTCTTCCACAAAACTGCTCAGCTTTGCCAGAGAACTGCAGCTCTCTTGGTGTATTACCAGAACTATCTTCTCTGCTGGCAACAGGCAGCAGGGAGTAGAAAATATTTCACTTAACTTAGCCTATTGTTTTCTTTTGGCAGGGACAAACTGGCTTAGGTGGCATCCAAACAGTGAGGCTACTTGGCTGAGTGTCACTGTGAGATTACTTGAGGAATGAACATGTGAAAGACAGGAGACCCAAGAGCCCTGTGCCAATCAGATGTGTGGGTGAAAATACTACAGACCTCACAATAGAAATCAGTGCTCTCCTGAAGTTGCCTGTGAGACATGAATGGACAGAAGAGATCTGCATGTTTGGTCTTTGGAAAGCTGAGAGGAGGTGGTGATGTTTGGGGTGAGCAGGCTCAAGACTTGGATGGGATGCTTTTTCTCTGCTTTCTCCCTTTTAAAACTTAATAGATTCCTGGCATTTTAGCTTCAAATAGGGTGTTCCAATGAATGGTGGTGGTTGTGAGGAATGTCCACAATTTCATTAGAGCTGTCATATACGGCAATTCCATTCTTCAGGGAGAAAGAAGGTGGAGATTTGGCTGCACAAATGACCTCAGCTGAGTTCCTCATCCCTTCAGAAGCCAGAAGGACATGAGCATCTCCGTGCAGACTACTGATATGGAGCTCTGACATGATCATAAGTGCTTGCCAGGGTGCTTGATTCAATGTGTTCAGATCACAGACTTGAGCTTCTTCATTTCCTGCATCCTCTTGGATGGTAGTGCTAGTGTCTGTGGTGGTGAAGATGGAGGGTGGAAGATGGAGGCTCTGGGATCTGCCTGTGGTATTGTTGAGCCCACTTCTGAGTGTGTCTGGGTGGGTCACAGAGGTGTGACTATGGGATCTATATCTGGTCCCTCACCCTTTCTTCTTTGGCAATACTCTGCTTTCCAGCTGCCTTGAAGGAAGCATCTTTCCCTGCTGTGCCCTTCTGGCATGGTATTCTTGCCTTAGAGCCAGGTAATTATGGACTGAATCCCCTGAAATTGTGAGCCACATTAAGCTTTTCTTCCTTAAAACTCTGGGTGTCAGTTGTTGTATTCAGCAATGGGAAAGCTGACTAATAGTGCGTTACTATCTCTTGAGAATGCTAGGTACTATTGTTGTCTTTTTTTTTTTTAGGTTTTTCTCCGGTACCGGGAACCGAACTCATGACCTTGCGCTTGCCAGGCAGGCGCTTTGCCGCTGAGCTAAATTCCCAGCCCCTAGCTAGGTACTATTGTATTTATGCAGCTTCTCAGAGCTCATAACAATCCCTTCAGCTGCAAGGAAAAGGCCTTCATGATCATGAAATTAGCATCTCCATTAAGACAGGGCCTGCTGCAGTATGGAGCCTGAATGTCCCTAGTAGCTTGTGTGTCAAGGCTTGACTCCAGGCCCATAGTGCTCCTGGGCAGTGCTGAACTTTTCAGGGTAGGTCCTGCGGGAGGGTATCGGCATCCTGGAGGTGTGCCTTCGCAGAGGACACTGGGACCTGCACCTTTCTTCTTTCTTTGCATTTCTGCCACCATGGGGTGAATAGGCCTCCTCTACTACATGCTGCTGCTGTGATGCATAGCCTCACCACAGGCCCCAAGGCACGGGACAACAGGCCATAGATCAAAACCTTTGAAACCATGAGCCAAAATAGTCCTTTCCTCTTTTTAAGTTGATTATCTCAGGCATTTTGTCACAGGAGTACAAAGCTGACTAATATGGGGCCTCATGACTTATTTAGTGCTATAGCCAGTATATACCACACTGCACATTGATTCAAATGCACATTGCATTTAATAAATAGCTGATTTACTGATTCCACAAATGTGATGAAGTGTACCGAAAAACCAGAATATTTACTCACCGACATATATTGCTGCACCCCATTCACAAATTTGGGTCCAGCTTCTTTCCTCAAACTGATCAATTTGGAGAGGTGCTCATAAGCCACAAATTCATTGAAGAATGTCTTATAACCTATGAGCTTGGCAACCATAAAGCTATCTTGCCAGTCCACTCCCATCATGAAGGAAAAGGGCATGAAGATGTAGGAGCATATTAGCTGAAAAACAAAAGAAAATATTTTGTTAGAACAGTGATTTGCTTCTAGTTCTTCTGTGTCATCCTCAGTGACAAAACTATTCCTGTCACCTCTCTCTTTTAGGCAGAAGAAATCACCCACATTCAGTTGCCCACTGTTATCTATCAGGAGTTGGTGTGGTCTGAAGACAGTTTGTCTTCACCAAACTCACTCCAAGTCTTGGTTCCCGGGGAAAAGATGCTGAGAGGGTCGAGGTCTTTCTCAGGAGGCCTGACTGCTCTCTCTGGAATGGTTAGTCTGGAGACGTTAGGTGGTCAGGCGTGGTCAGCCCCTCTGCCCCACCCTTCTCTCAGTGTGCGCGCTAGCCCGCTTCGCTCTGCTTTACAAGTGTACAGCAGCAGGGCCCAGAGGAGGCAGGCAGGCGCCACTGAAGTCGGACTCCTCGCCTCCACAACTGTGAGCCAGATCAACTTCTTTTTAATCTTTTTAGTGTCCAGTCAGGTGTTCTGTTATAGTAACAACAAACAGATTAAGACAGAAGCCCAATGCCTAGGTCATTTGAAGTCATCTAAATTCCCGAGGAAGGAATCAGGAGAGGGTGTCTTCTTGGGGGAAGGAGAGTGAAAGGAGCTGGAGAAGGGGTAGGGTGCTGGGTGAAGCCCGGAGCTCCTACGGTATGCATGGTTGGGAGTTATTTGAGCAGCCAGGCAGGGACAAAACAGAGGGAAGAAGTGTGAGAATTATACCTCGAAACTCAGCTGTGGAAAGTCAAACATGGCTCCGAGCCAAGACAGCGCCGAATTCACAAAGGACAACAGGGCCAGGAAGGCGATGAGATTTGCAGCGATGTTTGCCACCAGAGGGATTGACGAGGAAGCTCCCTGAGTTGCAGCTTCTAGGAGATTCCTGGAATCACTTCATCAAATGACAGCAATTCCAGAGTTACCAGGGAGCTCTCGGTGAGTGGACAGCACAGGTACAGCGGCGGCATAAGCAGAGCTCATTTGGGTGAGGGGCAAACCTCAGGCCCAGGCCTTGGTAAAAATGCTCGACTGAATCCTGCTCAGAATACAGATGATGGGCCAGGAACATAGACGGTGGGCTGAATATAGACTGTGGGCAAGGAATATCTAACTAGTTATTTATTATTGTTGTTATTATTATTATTATTATTGTTATTATTATTATTTCTGGTGGTACTGGAGATTGAACCAGGGGCCTCACATGTGCCACTCACTTGCTCAGCCATTGAGCTACCTTCCAGCCCCAATACTACCTTTGAAATTTGGGGCACATGGTAAAATATTACAAGTATACAAATTATGTATTAAAAGGAGCTATCAAGGAACCTTTATAAATATCCATGGTATAAACATATCCTTTCAGGGAAGGCCTTATTGCTGTCACTTCATTTAAGAAATGAAATGTCGTATCACCTGCGAGTCCCCCTGCACTGTCCCCTGAGCTCCCCTCCACTCTCTAGTCTCCAAGGTAACTGCTTCCCAACAACCTGCTTATTATTCCCTTTACAATTTTCCTACATGTCTATGTCCCTGAACAATATATGGTATCATCCTGCATGTTTGCTGACTTTATATTGGAATCCTTCTACAGGCTGGGTACCTTTTGTCTGAAATGCTTGGGGTCAGAAACATTTCAGATTTTGGGTTTTAGAATATTTACATAATGAGATATCTCTGGGAAGGCACAAGACTAAACACAAAATTAATTTAGGTTTCATATATACCTTATACATATGGCTTTAAAGTAACTTTTTACAACACTGCAAATAATTTCAGGCATAAAACAAAGTCTAACAGTCTGAATTTTCCACTTGCAGGGCATGTCAGTGCTAGAAAAGTTTTGTATTTTGAAACAAGTTGGATTTTAGATTTTCTGATGAGTGGTAATCAGCATTTATTTGTATTCTTTGGTGATTTGCTTCTTCACTGATTGTTATGACTGTTTTCATATAAACAAGAAATGAATCTCAGATGTTGGTTGATGAATTGTGTTATTTAAGAAAATACTTTGAACATCTTAAATTCCTTAGTCTCTTCCACCCTTCTTTCAACTAGCTTTTTTTCTGTTTTTTATTATGTTTGTGATACATAATATGTTTGTTATTATGTTTGTGATACATAATAATGACATTCGTCTTGGGGGATTGGTGCATATATATATTGGGTCTTAATCATTTTTACCTCTTCTTCCTCTCCCTGCTGTCCTATCTCCCTCCATTCTCAGATCCCCTTCTCATTTTTTTCTTTCTTTAGTTTTTTTTTTTTGTTTGTTTGTTTCTTGTTTTTTTTGAGACAGGGTCTCACAGTGTATCTCAGGCTGGCCTTGAACTCAGTACAAAGCCCAGACTGGCCTTGTGAGGATCCTCCTGCCTCAGCTCCCAAATGCTAGGATTATAGGTGCGTTTCACTATGCCTGGTGCCATTTCTTATTATATGAGGATGTTCAGAATTGGTCACCCTATGGCTTTTCAACAGTCTTAAACTTTTCAACAGTCTTGAGCTTAAAAGCTCAAAGAACATTATGCTGTATTTACAGTGAAGTATCTTTACAATGAATAGTTAAGAAAATATATTAACATCTGGGTATTTATAAAGGTTTTCCTAATGTTATAGATAGCTAAGCTAGACAGAAATACTATAGGCAGTCAGAGAGGGATAGGCCCTCAAAGGAGCCAAAGAAGAAGACAGGATACATTGACAGTGTGGGGGAGACAGATACCTCCGCTGTGGGCCAGACCTCAAGACAAAAGATGAAACGAATGCACCCACATACTTCCCCTAAGGATAAACAGCAGTAATTTATACTCTAAATAGGTATTGATCACCATGGGAAAGCTAGGAAGAGCCACTGACCCACTGACCTACCCACTCCAGGAAAGGCACCTGTTCTGCTTCATGCCCGCTTGCTGTGTGACTTGCTTCTTTTAATGATCCCAATTTAATCAATATTTCCTGAGCAGTTAGGCTTATAATCTTGCTGGTTGACCATAGTTTTGTCTCATTTCATGCCCACCTTGTGATTTCCCATTTTTCCCCATCTTGGACCCACCTCATGCTGTGGATTTGCTCTACAAAAATCCCTAGAAAAGGCAGGGTCCTCGGCAACCCACTGTGGACCCTCTCTGTCTCTCTCAGAAGCTTTCTTTCCCAGTAAATATATTCTGCTCATAACCTCTGTTGTTCCTAAAATTCATTTTTTGATTTTATAGAACACAAACTTGTACCAGACATCTAGCTGGTTGGGAGTTTCTTTCCCCTGTATCATTAGGGTGTGTTTTTTGTTTTTTGTTTTTTGTTTTTGTATTGGGAACTGAACTCAAGGCCTTGTACTTGCCAGACAGGTGCTGCGTTGCTGAGCTACATCCCTGGCCTTATCACTATGGTGTTGAAATAACATCTTTTGGTAAAGTCTAAATAATCACTGGGAAATTAAATTTAATTCCACAGTGCACTGCGCTTTCTTACTATCAAATTTTTGCTGTGCTTTGAAGTTGGATTTCACCTAGTCCTGACCCCAGTTTGAGTGGTCATAATTCAGCAGTGTGCCCCGCTTACCCATTTTCCATCTTCATGGCGCTCTTAAGGGTTACTTTAGGTTTTTCTGTCTCAGGCCAGAAAAGTTTAGCAACAGCCAGTGATGCAGGCGCTGACATGACCGAAGCTGTTAACAGGTGAGTGGATGACACCTGCAGTTGCAGAAGACAGCAAGCAACAGGGTTAGCCTTGCTCTGTGTTCAGAGTTCTACTGCGAAAGTTTACTTGGGAAGAGATGGGAAGGTTTTCATTAATTAAGTTTATTGGTACATTTTAGATATACATAATGATCACATTCATTATAGGGAATTTGTACCTGTGCATGATACAACTTGATTCTTTTTTTCCCATCCTCTTCCCCTCTCTTCAACCCTTCTTCCCCTCCTTATTTACAAAAGCTTTGTCTGCATTTTTCCTTCTCCTCTCATCATTTGGGAAGGGTTTGATTCTACGCTAGAGAGCAACCTTCCTCAGTGAGCCAAGTCCTGATGTTTCCCTGAGAATCAGATGGGAGGAATTCATGTGAATTGGCCCCAACCTTGGGGAAAAACACAAAACCAAAACCTGACCCTTTCAGCAGATAATTAGTCCTGCACTGTAACACTTGTCAAAGATTCCTCAACCTCAGTGCTGTAGTTTGAATGCCCAAACAGTCTTCAAAGCCTGCATTTCACTACATCAGGTGAGACTGGCAATGTCTGGGTGGAATAGCACAGAGGAAGGACTTCTGATCCTGGGAGGGCATGGGAAAGCCCCCTTACCACCTTCCTCTTGGTCTCCTGAAATCCTTTATCCCTTTGCACAATAACCACTTGCCCAGATCCTTTGGATCTGTAACTGTTTCTGTTTTCCTCTCCAAGCCCACTCTTTCCCATTCCCACCCTGCGTGCTCACACTGCTTCTGGATTCTCTTCCCTACAGCCTTAGAATCCCAGGGCCCTCGCCTGCCTTTCCCTCCCAGTGAGGCCTAGCACACTGTTGAAGGCAGCATTCCTGAAGTAGGGGCTGAGGGAATGATCGGGATCCAGTACTATGGCTTATTCCTGCAATACCCTTTGCTGCTTTCTTCTCTCCCTATGAACTGCCCTTCCCAGGTCAGGAAGAAGACCTGAGATGAAGCCCACCTTATCTTATAAGAAATCCTCACTTCCGGAATTGCACAATGGTGACTGTATTATGAAATTTCTGTGCGGGGCTCCATTAGTGTGCGGCTTGCAAGCTTCGTGCATGAGGACACCATGCATCAGCATCCTCTTGCCCAGCATTAGAGATCACCAACCCTCCAACTTGGCTCTACATAGGAATTGGAGGAGTTTTTAAAAATAGTGCTGGCTTTTGTCTTAGCACACTTCTGGTTTAATTACTCATTATTGTGGCCTGGGACTCAGGGTCTTCAAAAATGCCCAGGGATTCTGATGCACAGTAAGGGTTGGGGATTATTGCTGTAGATCAGGGGCCCCCAAATTCTTTTCTGTAAAGAGTCAGAGAGTGAATATTTGTGGATTGTGGCCTACAGCTACTCAACTCTATAGTATAAAAGCTTCCAAAAATGAATGGGTAGGAATGGCTAGTTTCCAGTAAAACTTTATTTACAAAGACAAAAGTTAATCTGGATTTGGTTCAGGGCCATGGTTTGCTGACCCCTGGTTTAGATCACCTTTACAAATGTCAGTAATCATTGTTTTTCTTCCACATATTTAACTTTTCAGCCAAAGTAAGCTCCTCTTACAATTTCATTTTGCTGTGCTTGGACATAACTCATATTTAGGTGGCAGCAACATGAAAGTGCAGCTCCCAAAGTCCTTGGGATCATTGCAGTCAAATGTTGGTGCAGCTGTGACCAATTTTTACCGTACTGCAAAAAGGGTGCCCTTTTGGCCTCCTTTTCCACCAGCAATGGGAAACAGGAAGGAAGGAAAGAAGGCACAAAGGAAGGAGAAAGACATTGAATTTTGTATAAGTTAATTCCTCTAAATTCTTACCCCAAAAGAAATGTATGCGCCCAAGACACTTCCAGCAATTGTAGCGAAGCCAGCTGTCATAATGGCGTGGAGCTCTGACCGGGTGACATGTGGTAAATACGGGCGGACCAGCAGTGGAGACTCTGTCTGGCAGAGGGAAGGCAAGTGGATTATATGTTACGTTTTAAATCTACTGAACATTTCATTGCCCAGAGCCGTATTTCTAAGAGTGAATCTCAGACCAGCTCTATCTGCATCACCTGCATGCACTTTCTCTCACTTACTGGATCAGAAAAGGGAAGAGCAGCAATGTGTATTTAATACGCCTCTCAGGTGAAGCTGACGGATGCTGGGGCTTGAGAACATGTACCTGCACATCTGGGCTATCTGGATTCTAGGTGAGTGTGCATATATGGTCATGGGCAAGCCTTGCAAATTATGAAGCTCATTCTCTGTTGCCTCCACCTTGCCTGGGACAGGGCCCTGGGCGGACTTGGTGCACTTTTCTAAAGGTTGGCCAAGTGACTGCCCAGTGGCCTGGCCTGGTAGATTGGAGGCTTCCAAGCTACTGTGACTTTCCCTCTACCTGCTTCATCTTCACAGACTCTTACCCTGTTTTCTGAGACCTCATGGAAATAGAGGTATAAGTATGTGACAAAAACACCAGCAATGATAATTGCTGACGGGTACCCACAGGCCCTTCCATAATTGAGAATCAGAGACCTTTCTTGACATGTGAAAAGGAACTGCATGGTATAGCTGTAGAGGTTTAAATCTCATTAAAGAGGACAGGCAGCCTGCGGCGTGGGGCTCTCCATCAATAATAACTATCCTTGCAGCATATTAAGTGTCAGACTGAGCACCACAGAAGCATGTGTGCAATTTTATAATTTTTTCCTCATTATTTATAATTTTTCTATGAGGTTGACTGTGTTGAGCCTTAGTTTATAGATTAAATAGGAACCCAGTACATGAGTGCTCTTTCCCTGCAGGTAGTAGCAATCAACTTGAGATTGTGCCCTAATTAGTCCTCAGAGATTCTGTGGCTGTAATTATTATAATTTCAGCTCCTAGAGAAGGAGTATGTTCTCCTTCAAGTGCCCCACTAAGGGCAGCTTCAGGCTGGTGAGCTGGGCTTACGAAGAAGGCACAGCCTGCCTGCAGCAGTTATAACCCTGAGTTTTACAGCCAGCGTTTTTCTCTGGGACTTGGTTTTTGCCTCAAGCCCCATTTCCTTGGGCAGGGGCACTGGTAAGTATTCACACTTGGCTTCATGGATACGCAATTCCAGTCCACCTGAAGCTGTGTGTCCCGAGTGACAAGTAGCTTGTTACTGCTAAAATGGACTTCAGGCGAAAGAGCATCTATGCACGGGGTGGGTCAGGGAAGTAAAAATTGTAGCCTAAAAGTTCATCTTTGAGAAGAGGAAGAAACCTAGAAGCATTTTTCTTCAGGGTCAGCAAAGACAGACTATTGACCAAGGTGTCCAGCTGTTGGTGAGAAGCCTTTCTGGGTCTCCTTTCTTGCCATAGGCACTATAGTATACTTGAAGCTCCCTGTTTCATGTTGGTAGCTTCAAGGCAGTGAAATCCTTCTGGGAGAGAGGAGCTACTCATTTCTGAAGTTGACCAGTGACCTCAGTAACTCAATAAAGTCTGAAAAGATTTGTTGAGAATTTACATAGGAGAAACCATGTGCTTTAATAAAATGACGCTTCTCCTTCCAAGGAGGCAATTCTTCGTTAGTGTACCTAGACTCTTGAAAGGGATCTCTCTGACTCGTCTCAGAATCTGGACATTGCCTATTCTAGGGATTCCTTATTTTATACCATTTCTCCATGCTAAAAGAAAAGGCAGCATCATTATATTTGCTTGGTGTGTGCTTTGCAAAGAAAGTATCCCATTGTAGCAGGTGTTTTGCTTTGTTTTGGTATTTGCTATTACCACTTACTTGTCCAACAAATATATTGCCAGCAGCAACCACAGACTCAATAGGCGATGACCCCATAGTAACTAGCATTGTCCATCCAACCTAAAAGGAAACAAGGGACAAAGTCAGTGAAGAACTATATGTGTACTACAGCAAGCTTCAAGCAGGGATGAACCTCATGAAGCTGGAGTGAAATGTTTAGGACTTTAATAATTGTTGGCAAGTTAGTGGAGGTGCTGATGTCAGTATAACTCATCTAGAATGAGATGTATTTATACAGAGGTGTGATTGTAGATGGAAAGCCATTCTCAGCCTCCTTCACTGCCATGAGCACTAGAGTATAAAATGTGAGGAGGAGACGTATACAGCCGGCTAATCAAATCCTCCTATTTGAGTGATAAGTCTGGGTCATTGTAAATACTTCTGAAATGCTTAAGCCAACAATCAGAAAATTATGAGCCCTAGAGCTCTGACTGTAGTTTTGCTCTCTGCTGGCATTGTGCTTCTCCTCCTTTTTTCTTTTTCTGTTTATACAGTTTGATTACTTTACAGGGATCAAAGGAAGGCTGTAGCTGACCCCCAAGGCCTGCATGCACACTCTGCTCTCAAGTGCATCCAAATTCCCTTGCATAGTTTCTAGTTTTCTGATCGAATGTGAGGTTAGGATTCAGTGGCAGGGGGAGCAGGAGTAAGATGATTAACAACTCCCATTCTCCTTCTCCTCCTCCCCCTCTTCTCTTCCTTCACCTTCTACTCTTCCTTCTCCTCCTGCTCTTTCTTCTCCTCCTCCTCTTTTTCCTTCTCCTCCTCCTCCTCTTCCTTGTCCTTCTCCTCCTACTTCTTTTCCTTGTCCTCCTCCTCACCTCCTCCTTCTCTTCCTCCTTCTTCTCCTGCTCCTTGCCCTTGTTCTCCTCCTCCTCTTCCTCTTTCTCTTCCTCCCCTTCTCCTTCTCCTTCTCCATCTTCTTCTTCACAATTGTGTGCCTCAAAACTTCCTCCAGAGTGAAATAAAACTCCTTCTTGTTCAACTTCTCTGGAATTCCCAGATCAGTAGCATGTACCTTTGTACCCTCCCAGAGACCCACATGGCTGGGGCAGGCACAGCATGGATAACCATGAGGAAGGGACAACACTGTCATTCACTGGCATGTATTGCATCTCAATTCCTTGGCTAAAGAAGTAGCTGCTATGGTTTCCTAGAATATCCAGGGGGTGCAAATCAAAGCCCATTTGGAAGTCCCTTAATGGAAATATGGGTTTGAATCTAATAACTTGAGTGGGGATAGATGTGAATTTTGGAGAAAGAGAAAGTCACCTTGGAAATATCTGGATAAAAACACCTCAGACTTTGTACCTGAAGTGATCAGGCTCCCCCCATCACCCAGTACCTCCCAATCCCAGTACCTTTCTGATGATCCACTGCATTAATCCCAGGTAGTACAGCATGGACATCACAGTGCTGAAGAAAACCACTATGGGCAGGATCTACAGGTGGGCAGTGGGACAAAAGTGAGAAGGATCAGTGTTCAGCCTCGTAGTATCACAGGTTTCCTGTTAGATCTCCCCTCTGCCTCCTTCTCTTTGACAGAAATATTATATCAGTCCTGGAAATTCTTCTCAAATGGAACAATTTTACCGTTCAGCTTTCTTCTCTATTGTCTCTTACCCTGACTTCTTCTGGATGGGCTTCTTGCAATGTATCCCTCAAAAATCCACATGTGTCTCTAAGTGAATACACTGTAGTATTTAGAGCAGGGTGTTTGGGAAGTGGTTAGAATGAGACAAGGTCATTAGGATCGGGACCTCCTGATGCACAGTGGGTTTACTGAAACAGGAAGATGGACCTGAGTGGAGCTTGTCTGTTTTGCTGTGGGAGGTCCTCTGCCAGGTTCCGTGCAGCAAGAAGACCCTCACCAAAGCCAGCACCTTGATGTCAGACTTCTCAGCCTCAGAGCTGTGAGCTAAACACATTTATGAATTATCCAGCACCAGCTATTTTGCTATAGCTACAAAAAATAGACTAAGACAGATACATTTCATAGGAAACTTGGTATTTTTATTTTTCTCTTCCATAAGGAACTTTTCTTACTTGGAGAGAGAATGTGGTTTTGGATAGGTTTGTAAGGTCTGCTCAACAAACTGAAGACCATTGGCAAATGTCCTTAATGTCCCAGTGTTAAGGAGACATAGCTATTACCACTGCCATAATTAACAGAGTGTCCAGGTCAGATTTAAGTGGAGCCCCTCAGGCCCTCATTTGTATTCACTACAGGACCTGAAAAAGCATGGTGGGTACTGACACACAGTGCCTCCTACAGAGTAAGCATTTACCCTTTAAGCTCTTAAAATAATAAAGACTTCACCCACAGACTTTTGAATCACTAAAAACTGATGGCATTTTGGAGACTAGCTTAGTTCTGTGTAAGCAAAGTCATATTTCCCCAGGTCCCATGCTTCTGCTGCTCTCTGGGGTCTTCCTTGCAGCCCTGTTCCTACAGAGAGCAGTTTCCAGACTCATGGAGCACCCAGAGCTTCGTGGGGTCCTTGCTCAGGCCACCCTCCCTCGTTCCTTCCCCACCATTCCCTGAGGACGGCCACAGACTAGTACAGCACACAAGGACAATTCGTACAAAATCTAATTTAGAAAAATCTATTCATAATAAGTACTAAAAGTTATTTTGTGCCAGTATTCAGAGTGTATTCACTGGAAGCCATTTATTAGCTTTAATCAGCAGCAGAGCTAAGAGGCTTATCCAGGGATTCTGCCCTGGCAGAAAGAACCGAGGCCTCTGCCTGGGCAAGAAGGACAGCAAGCGTGGAGAGGCTGCAGAGAAGTCATTCCTTCCTTACGACTTTGTTCTCTCCAGTGCTGAATCCGGTTCATGAGATGAGCATATTGCTATCTCATGCTATAAACACTTGACCTTTCAGACATGGCTTAGTAGTCTCCGCACTGAAGTATCAGGGTTAGAAAAGATTCCAATCCTGATCTCATCATGGCACATTGTATGCACATATTAAAGGGTCACACTGTACCCAAGCAGGGGCAATTGCTATGTGTCAATTAAAAATACAAATAAGTCAACCCATCTTCTACGGTTATTCATTTCCCTGAAAATAGTGCCCAGACACTATCACCCATAAGATTTCTCTTAAGTGTCCCTGGCAGTGCTATACCCTCCCTCCCCCCAAAAATATTTGATGTCCTGACCTTCAGATATTTTTCCTTAATACTACATAAGAGTTACACAGTGCAATGTGTTCAGTACACCAATATCAGATAACATTATAAATGAAAAATGGTGCCTACAATTGGTTCAGAAAGCATACACCTGGGTTTGGATGTGTTAGGTTCTGTCTGAACACCTACAAAGAATAAGAACCTAGTGAAAAGGCAATGACTACATAGAAAAAGAGTTGGGATTTACCTTAAATGCGAAGAAGTGGTCTGTGTATTTCTCACCAAAGACAAAGACAGCACCAGCATCAGTGTACCCCAGGAAAGTCTGAGCTCAAGAGAAGAAAGGAGATCATTACATCCACTGAAGTGTGGGTCACAAGCCATAGGAACACGATCTTGCAGAGCAAGAGGGCCCCTAACATGTCCTCAGCCTGGCATGGAAGTATATTTTTGAATTATATCTGCACATGGATTTGTTGTCATTTCTGATATTCAGTATGACTCCAGTACACGAAAGAATAAGCTGAACGGAGGACAGGTGCATATGGGGGACACCAGTTACCACTGCATGCAAAGAATGCTCTGGGGAACTATCTTAGATGTGTGACAACCTTGAGCAGGGTGACAGGCAACAGCCATTGTGGATGATTCAGTGGATGACATGCATCAAGGGCAGTGGTGAGTGTAATGAATAGGCAGATTAATATATTTGACATACACAGGTATTCCTCTAATTCATACTATAGAATTAAAATTTGGGTCAAATATTGCAGGCAAATAAAGCTAGATCTGACATATCTTAAGGATGACATCCAAATAGGAAGTGCAGTATAAAACGTTCTTCTGAGCCACTTACCTGAACTTGTCTGCCCAACCAATCAAAAGCAATATATCCAGGTTTAGTCCTTAGGATTAGGAGACCAAGAAGGAATTGTAGCCCAATTCCCCAGCAGACAGGTCTCCAGTAAACCTAGGCAGAGAGATCAAGAGATTGTCTCCTTAGGAAACCAGTGCTGGCCTCATACCAACCTACAGGGACTGCACTTCCTGGAAGCACCCTTAGTGTGGCAGAGAAGCCCTCCGCCCCTTCACTAGAGGCCCAGGTAGCCACGAACAGAGAGTCTTTGCTCCTTTTTTAGGAATTGGGGATTGAACTCAGGACCTTCACACTGAGCGAATCCCTACTCCTTAGCTCTTTTAATTAATTAATTTAAATTTTAAACAAAGTATTGTTGAGTTGCCCAGGCTGGGCTCAAATTTGTAATCCTCCTGCCTCAGTCTCCCAGACTGCTGGTATTATAGGTGTGCACCACCATGCTTCATTAGAGATTCTTTGATAGAATCATACCTTCCGAAACTCAGGATTGCATTCCCTTTCTTTAAACCCGGGCGGGAGCCCTGTTAGTCCTGCTTTTTCATACTTTCCTATGTAACCACTAGGTCCCAACAGAGATCTTAGACAGACAGAGTAGTCTAAGAAGCACCACTGATATTTTGGGATGACTATGGCTAGGATGTCTGTCCTAGTCATACTGTAAAATTGTATACATATAATTCTTTTTTTTTTTTTTTTCCTCCGGTACCGGGAACTGAACTCACGACCTTGCACTTGCCAGGCAGGCGCTTTTGCCGCTGAGCTAAATCCCCAGCCCGTTGTATACATACAATTACTTCACTTGGAAAATAGAAAGGCAGAATATCATTTCTCTGTGTGTCCACTGTGTGTTGATCTGACAACTTGTAAATGAATGAAGTGAAATTCTGCCTGGAAAGCCTTCTGGAGCTTGCCACTGTGATTCATTAGTGAGCACCTCCAGGTCTCAGAATTCTTGCCATTTTATGGGTTAAGGCTAATAGAGTAAGGATGAAAATGCATTCAATGGGGGAAAAACTGTATTAGGACAAATTTTTGGAGTCAAAAAGCCCAAACTGCAAATTGAACTTTGATAAACTGCAGGATCCAATGTAGAATATTAGGTAATTTACAGTCTGGGAAAATCTATATCAAAATGAGTCCATTTTTCTCTCTGTGTGTTGATGGGGGCATGGAATATATGAGTTGAAATTAGACTTTGACAGGGAAAGAATAACTTGCTGGTTGTGTAACTGGAAAATATTGAGAATGAAATAAGACACAGTGCTTTGAAAGTTCTAGAAGGAAGACTCCCTCTCCACATGGAGTCCTCACAGCAGAGTGAGAGAAACGCTGGACAGTATAATTCTTTCGTAGTCATTTTGAGCAATTTGCACCTGGGGAAGAGACAAGGCCAAAAATATTCCCAAAAGATCAATTTTATATTTACCCTGGTTGGGTGCTTAGAAAACAGAAATAACAGGATAATGTACATCACGAGCCCACCAAAGGACACCAGCTGCTGTTGTCCCAACTTGGCGGTGTCGAGGATCAGCCAGAAAATAATGGCCAGGACCAACAAGCTCCACATGACCCTAAGGAACAGAAGGGGCATTGGTGTCACTTACTGTGCTAACTTGAACACTGTAAGGAGGCTTAAACTCACAAAACATGTTAACAAGAGCAGCACACCCTAGCACCAGGAAGCTGTACTATTGGAAATTGCAATGGGCGCTTTTTGGTTGTGGTGATAATGGAAAATAGCCCCCACATTAAGTCATGCATCCCTTTTGCTCTACAACTCAGACCCTTCCCCAGTTCAGGGGTATCAAAGGGGTCAGAGGGGGAAGAGGATGTTTGGAGAGGCCAGTCTCGTGATTTCTTTGAGAAAGCTCCTCTTGGGGGGAATTCCTCACTCCAACTTTTGGGATGGGTGAGATGTTACCTCCTTCCCTTTAAGGGAGAAACTGAAATGTGTTCTCTGTAGTTTGGGGACCTCAGCAGATCTGAACTGGATCTGGGTTGACTTCCACAACTGCAGAGTCCAGTGCACATGGCTAGGCTGACTCACTGCTTGGATGGCAGACTAGAAAGACCACTGGGTGGGGACTGCATAACCCTGGTTTATTAGACCAATATGTGTGAAGTTTTCTGGTAGATCCCAGTGGGTCTTGACAGAGACAACCAGTCCTGGGACCTACCTAGTAGGGCTGCCAGAGGAAAAGGAGGTCCACAGAGAGAGGTGGAGGGAAAAGCCCTGAGCAGCCACTGCAGAACATAGGGTCCTTTGGCAAGGAGTCCCCTTAACAACTCATAAGGCCTTTCTTCCCAAGCAGGCAGGACAGTCCTGGCCTTGACTTCTTTCCTGGCTTTGAGAATGGTAGAGAAACAGGAAATAGGGAGAAAGAAGAAATGGAAGCCAAAGCTGGGGTGGAAGGATGGGAGGTTTGGTCAAGCTCATAGCTTTCACCATTATATGGGATGGCACATCTTAATGTTAAAAATATGTCTGTGGCCACTGGCTTGTTATTAGGAATGAGTAGAAAGGGTAATGGGATTTTGCAGTTTTTTATACAAAGTATGGGATAGCTGGGTCCCACTGAATAAAATGGAAAGGATGACTGACGAAAAATTAAGTTGCATTTTGATAACAATCTATAGGGTCACGATTTTAACAATTCAGCTTTCATTTTCTCTAATTTTTTCAATGTCTTTTGCTCCTAAGAGTTAGGGTTTTAAGTATCACCTTGATGTTGAGGACCCCTAGCACTTGACTTTTTGTGTGATTGGTATGTTAAGTTACTGGATTCATTAGTCAATAAAGAATTGCAAATACAGATACTGGCTGACATCAGAAATAGATAAAAAGGTTCATACTCATCATAACACTTAAAATAGTTCAAAAATGTAAGTGAAACAAATGATTAACCATAGAGGAACTGCACTGAAGAAAGGCAAAGATTCTATGAGCCCCATTTTATAAATATACTTTAAATAGTATATGTATAACTTGTTTAAGAAAAGATGTTACAAAAAAGAAAAGCTGTCTAGTCATGTTGTTATCAGTGATCTCTGTCATTTCTACTCACAGACCAATTCTTTAAATAGGTACTGTGATTAGGGGACATTCGTGCTCTGTGCCCTTTGTGGGCACCTCCTCTGACAGGACAGAGACATCACTGATTGATCATGATGCCACTCCACTGATGGGAGGAGGGAGAGCTGGAGGTGGCCCTGAGATAACCAGAACTTTGTCCTATCCTGTATTTGCTTTGTGGTACCTAAGTATATAAATGTCTCCAATACAGCATCTGCAGATTATTAGATCTCGTTTGGACAACATTTAATCAGTTAGTAGCACTTGAGATTGAGCTGGTTTGTAGGGACCTTGGAACACCTTTCAAATGAGTCATTGCCACATCTAAACCTTGGTTTCTGTTTGTCGAGTGAAAGCATTATAATTGATTAGCTTGCTTCTAGCTTCGATGTCCCACAAATGAGGAAGCAACTTTAGAACATATTTTTGCAGCAGTGCTGGGAAAGACTAACACCCCTCTGGATTGCAATAAGAGACCCACTGCAGTTACCACTTCATCCAGAACCAATGGCTGTCCAGAAGCTGTCTGCCCGGAGATAGCATTTCATCAATTCGCTGTTCATATTTGGCCATCAAGTGATCCCAGACGACAAAGAAGATGGCTGCTACGGTGATCACGAAGAGAGGAAGGGCTCTGTGAAAGTTCAGCACACAGGCTGCAATCACCATGGCCAGATAAGCTGTCCAGGAGGCAAAGGCAGACACTGAGCATCACCCTGCTCAGGCAAGGGGAGGGTCACCAATAACCCACCGTGAGCAGCGTTGCTTTGATGTGGACACTGGCTCCTCTCTCTTTCCTCCGCCAAAGCAAGGTCCTACGACTCTCATTTCTGGAGGGAAAGGGTGCTGGGTTTTCCCTACAGGGCCTTCCGAGTCCTTCAGTCCTGATACTTGACCACTGGCTTCTCGCTCAGTACTTATTTGTTTATTTCCCCACAGATGCAGATTCTGTAGGTGGGCTACTATCAGAGAAAGGCCAGGTACTGAAGCAACCACTGGCAAAGAGGCATTGATTTTCCTAGTTTGCAGCTCAGATTTGGCCCATGTTTGAATAAGAAAACAGACCCACAATCTCTAAGGGCCACAGACTCTGAAAGGAAGAAGGGCAGCGGTAACCATAGTGGCTGCTTTTGAGGGATAAGAAGAGTTGCTATTCTTAAAGGTCAGCAAACAAACGCCTGCAAGTTTAGTCTGGCTAGCTTCTTGTTTTGTGGGTAGCAAGCACAATTACATTTCTCTATTTGTATTTGTCTGCTACAAATAAAGTTGTATTGTAACACAGCCATGTCTGTCTGCTATGCGTTATCTTTGGCTGTTTTTTTTTTTTTTTTTTTTTTCCTACTAAGTGGTGGAGTTGCATAGTTTTGATGGCATGCTCAAATACTGCCAGACTTGAAATACTATCTGGCCTGGCACAGGGAAAGGTGACCAACTCTGCTGTCACCCATTCCAGCTGTCTGAACACCAGCAAAGGCTTTGCCCAGGGTAGAGCAGCAATCTTAGAGTACTGTCTGTGGGTTCACATGGGAGTGTTTACATTTTATAGATAAGAGTGAAGCCCTTTGCTTTGCAGGGAGTAAAAACAATCTTTCTACCTTCAGGCAAGGTGAATGCACTACATGGTCCTGGGTTCTTAGACACCCTGCAATTAGGTGTCTGCCCATTATCAAGATTGCATTAATCAATGTGTCTCCTCAAATCCATACCAAAAAACAAAGATTATAATGAGCCCCAAGACAGGGGGAGGTTCCATGGTTTGAATGTGTCCTCCAAAAGTTCATGTGTTGGAAATTTAACCCCCAAATTCATATGCTAATTGTGTTTGGAGGCAGAGCCTTTGGAAAGCAATTAGGATTAGATGAAGGCATGAGGGTAGGCCCCCTTATGGTCTTCATGGATTTAGGAAAACAGGAAGACAGCTCCAGCTAGCACATTTGCTCCAAGTCCTCTACCACAATATAGTGCAGCAAAAAGGCCTTTATCGATGCTGGCATCTTGTCACTGGACTTCCTAGTCTCCAGAACTGTGGGCTAAATAAACCTCTATTCTTTATCCAAATACCTGGACTGTGGCATTCAGTTATAGTGACAGAAAATGGACCAAGACAATAGACAACTCACAATTAACTGATAGCCTCAGTTAACTGCACATTTCCCTTCTGAGACCTGAGTCTTGGGGGTTTCATGGCTTACTTCTCTGGGTGACTAATGGCAGTTTAGGGAAAGAAAAAGGTTTATTTCCTTTCCACAGGAAGTTAATACTTGGGGAACCAACCAAAAGAAAAGACAATGGTATTTCCATCATTCTTTGATACTTACCAACTAATAAAATTCCCCAGATGATATATCGAAGAGTGGTTTTGTGTTTTGTACAAAAATCACAAACTGTATTGTATTTCCTTTCCAAACACCTGCAACACAAAATCAAAAAGGCAGATAGAATCACATGCTCAAAATATGAAGTAAACAGGCATGCTAAGGCTAGATTTGGCTTTGTTAAACCAGCAAGCAAACAACTTAGGAGGCATATGTCTTACAAAATAGAAAAGGAAAATTCATTTCATTTTAAAGTAAAATCAGCCATGGCTTGGATTAACCTGCATGGAATGAGTGTGCCAAACCCCGAGGGACTAGAGGGAAAAAGGAAGGATGCTCCTGGGAACAGAGCAAAAAGATGAATCACTACCCAGAAGCTGAAATAAACCTCAGGAGAGCGCTTGAGTCGGAAGTGCTGGAATATATCACACATGTAATGATAGGTATTGTGAGAAACTTTCATTGCTATGTATATGTATAAATATGTGCACTAAGAATTATAAACACTGCTCTAAAGACATTGGGTGAATAAAAGTGCAGTAAAGGCCAAGTTTTTTTGTGGTCTAATTTGGGAAAAGCTAATAATGTATTACCCCTGGTTGTGGAAGTGGTAGCAGTGGAGGGTGACATTTAATAGGGCACATCTATCTGCTGCAGGTTAGCTTTATCAGATTTTTTAATTGCAGGGAATTTACAGTCCATTAGAGCAATCTGACTCCATAAAGCAATGTAGCTGGTGAGAGACCCTTGGGCCATTTGGTTATCTGCTGCAGAATTCCCAATGCCCTTGTGGTCATTTCAGCACCATTAACAGTAGTGAAACCTGAGTCTGACCTCTGGAGAGAATTTCCCAGCCTCCTCTCAGTAAAATGCAGCTCAGTTTCTGAGGAGGTATATTCTTCATGGTGTATATGTGACAAGACCTCCCCACCTAATTCTGACCTGCTCCAGGGACGTCTTCTGAAACATTAAAAACAAAAAGTTTTCAGAGATGAAGGAATTAAAAAACAATTAAACAAGAATTTAGAAAATGGACAAATATTCTAGTGTTAATATTATAGACAGTTAAGTACATAGAAAGCAATAGGCAGTCCGAGAGGGATTGGGCAGTCAAGGGAGTCAGGGCAGAAGGTGAGCTGTGTCACTGTTGTGGCTGGAGGCGAAGGTGAGGCTGGAGATGCGATAGCCAGGCTTGGGAGTCCTCACAGATACGTGGCAGCTTGAGATTATACTGTAACTAGCACCATCTGGTCCAGTGAGCCCAGAGAGGGATCAAATGCATAGTTGGGGGACCAGAAATCTGACCCTTTCTCCCATCCCTTTCCAGGAATGCCTTTGTTCTTTCTACTTTAAAAGATACAGATAAGCTAAAGTTAAGGATGCTTGCCATACAAACTCTCCTTACGTACCTCGCTTCCCTATTGGACCAACTATTAGCTAAGCGACTATATCTGTAATCCTATTGGTTGATTATAGTTTGACCCATAGCTACCCATGTTGTGATCCTGCTGTATAAAATATCCTTGGATAAAGAGTCTCTGCAGCAACTCACTCTGGACCCCTCGTGTCTCTCAAGAGCTTTGCTACTGTTAATCTCCTTTGTGCTAGAAACTCAGTCCTCAACATTCAGGAGACACGAAGCAGGTTCATCGGACACCTAGCAGATGGAGAGCTATTTCCCTGTGACATTACGAGAAGAGTAACAATCCTGGTACATAATCAGAGGCTGAAACTCCAAGCTGTTGTTGTCTAGCTGACTATCTTTGGATGGGTCATTTCTCTGAGTTTCACTTTCATGGGCTGAAAAATAAAGATAATAATCTTGCTTCCCCTACCTTGTGGGACTGTAAGGACTTAGAACACCTTTGGGAGATGACAGGTAAGAACAACAGTTTGTTGGGATTTTAAGTGGATTGAGTTTTGAGAAATCAATTGCTATTGATTGACACCAAGAAGATGAATTAACTGCTTTTGCATGGTCCAGAGCAATTAGTTGGTAATTTACACCTTTAATTAGAAGACTGTCCTGGGTGAATTTAAATCTAGATATTGAGTTCCCAGGACATCAGCAAGCTGAGCTGGACACATTGATCATCCTAGAGTTTCATTAATTGTTTTGAAAATGGTGTTGAGTGGGTGAGTGGGAATGAGAATGGTAAAAATCATCACAAATGTTAAAAATTAGATGGAAAAATAAAACAAACAGGAAGTAGACATGGTTATCTCCTTGCTTTAAAAACTGTACCCTGTTGGGTGCATGTCTTGGTCATCTTCCACATCTTCGTCTTTATTTCCTAGGAAGTCCTGCTCAATTGTGATGTGCTCTTCGCCCTGGAAATCAAACATTGGAATCGAGAGGAAATAATCAGAATCCTGGGCTGTGGGTGCACTGATTGCCTTTACATGAGATTGTGACAGAGAATTTTCAGGAGGCCTTTTCATTATTATGTAAGATGGCTCCTGTTCTCTAGGCCGTGGACACTTTTCCCCCTTATAATCTCAAGAGACTCAGAATCACACTTAGATCTCCCTTTCCTCCCAGAGGAGCCACTGACACTTTTTGCTTTTCTTAAGGGACTGGCTCCTATTTTTGCTTTTTGCCCCTGTCTTTGTTGTAATCATTCAATACCAGCTCTGTTTCCAGGCAAGCGCTAAATGAAGTTAACACCAGAAGCTTCACAAATCTCCCTTTATATTAGGCCAAATGTAGGTTCCCCAGGACTGAGAAGAAGGCTGGTTTTATTCTCCTGGTAGCCAGCCCGAGGCTTGATCTGCAGATGTGAACACCAGCTGCCGCCTTGAAGAGCGGACTGAAAAACCTCTCCTCAGGGCATAGCGTCTCCCTGACTCTGGGCTATAGGACAATGTTTCCTTTCCCCAGCTAGCTCTTGCTCTAAATAACTGAGCATGTTATACACCTGGGGCATCTTTCCTAGACAGTCTTTCTAGGTACAGTGTGAGCCCTCAAACATCCACAACCCATCCTGTTCCCAGCCTGGCCCGGAGGCTTCCTCCCAGTCTCCATCCTGCGGTGACCCCTCCCTGAGCAGTTGGCTGTTGGAAACAATGGCACCGGAAGCCAGGGAGGAGGGACAGAGATGGGGCGAAGGTTAGAACATGTACTAAGAAGTGTAACGCCATGGTTCAGCTTTCATTTTCTGCCATATGGTGTGGCTTTTAATTCTGTACTTTAACTAAATCATAGCATGCTGGTATGCTGAAAGCTCCTCAAATATCATGTAGTCCTTCCATGCAAACTCAATTACACTTCTAATTCAAAATTATTTCTGTTTTTTTCTGATGGAAGTAGGAAGGTGAGAAGATAATTGGAGGAGAGACCACAGGAGTCCTGCATGGGCTGAAGACAGAGACAGAGATAGAGACAGAGGCAGAGACAGAGATGAATCTTGTTCATTTATTTCCATCTAAAATCTAGCTTGGCCAATGACATTTGATAAATATTTGATTTAAATGATCCAATTACTGTTTTCCTGCATCAAGTGGATCCTACTATCTACAGGTTGTCCAGCATTACTGTTGTTTTGCTTCCTGTTCTCAATGCTTTTGTATCTTTTCAAAACAACACAACAAGGCCAGTTTTACGTCCACCATCATAGGACATGTGCCCCTCTTACTCTTGCCACTGACCTCTGGTGGCCTTTGGTGCCCATTTCCTCACCTCCTGTTCACTGCCCAGACCCCTGTGATTTTCTTTTTCTTTTAAATTTTATTTTTATGGAAAAAAGGTAAAACAATCCCAGCACTCAGGAAGCTGAGGCAGGAGGATCGTTGTGAGTTCAAGACCAGCCTGGGCTACAAAGTGAGCTCAAGGCCAGCCTGAACTGCATAGTGAGACCCTGTCTCAAAAAGACCAAAAAAAAAGAGGTAAAACAGAATTTCATAACAAAATAATAGGAGAATAACAATAGTTAGTACATTGCATATTGTCCTCTTCAAAGTAGTTACTCAGAGTACAAGATGTGGGCATAAAAAATTCTCCAATCGATATTAGCACGAACCTTCCTTTCAAATGAACTGAGACACTAATAGTATAGCTTCCTTGCATTTTTCTCCCTTTTGCCTTCCTTCCTTCCTTTCCCCTTCCCCAATCTTAGCTCCTTTGTCCTTTTAAGCAATTACTTCCCGTTTCACAATACCCCTGTGATTTCCTACTGAAGGTCTCTGTCGGGGTCACCCAAGGCCTGCTGTGGGTGCCCTGGGAGCTGCTCCTGACTTTTCACATTCCTGTGAACAACTGCAACATGTCTAACTTTTGTGCATTTTCTTGTGAAACAATTAGAGAAAGAGATCTTTTCGAGAGTGTGAGGTCCCCGGCAAAACTGAGTCAAAAGTCCAGAGCTTTCCCGTACATCCTTGCACATGTCTTCCCCACTGCGGCATCCCGCACCACAGCGGCCCCCTGTCACAGCCGATGAGCCGTGCCTGTGACACAGCAGCACTGCCTGGAGTCGGTTACAGTGAGGCTCAGGGTGATGCTGCGCAGTCTGTGGGTTTGGCAGACGTCTGACGACATATGTCCACCATTACAGCACCACGCAGGACAGTTTCACTGTCCCCAGATCTTATTTACCCCTACCTCTTCCCCGATCGCTGGAGACCTGTTCTCTTTGCTGTCTCCATACTTAGGCTTTTCCCAGAAGGAGGAAAAGTGGAGTGGCACAGTCACTAGTCATTCCATAGTGACTGCTTGCATTCTGTAAAAGCACTTAAGGCTTGTGTAGTTCCCTGCGTGGCTTGCTGGTTTGTTTCTGGAGTTACCCTCACTGATGTATCTGTTCACCTGCAGAGGATATCGGGGCTGCTTTCAAATTCCGGCACTTATGAATAAACCTGCTATAAACATCTGTGTGCAAGTTTCTGTGTAGTTTTCTTTTTAGTTCCTTGAAGAGTATTTAGAGACATGAACACTTTCTACAATATGTTGAGTGAAATACCCACCTCATATTCTGCGTACCAGGTAATGTGGGTAGTATAATCCCAAGGTGGATTACATCTGCTGACTTCTAAGATGCAAGTTGCAGATTTTTTTTCTTGAATTACAGGCCATTTTTTAGCCTCTAAAGTTTGCTGAAATAATTTTGCACATTTTCTACTTTAAACAAGTTGCCCTTTTACCAAGAAAAGGTTTGCCAGAGAGTGGTGCCGTCACAGGCACTCAGTTACGTTTCAAAGGACGATCTACATGAGTAATTTGCTCGCTTACCAGCAGTAAGATCCCTTTCAATTAAATTCTACCCAGAATTCAACACATACATGAAATAAAAACAGAGCTCTTCAGACTGGTTCAAACTCAGGCGACAGTGAGGGACTTCTGGGCTTGATGGATATCACTTTAGAACCATCTGTGAGCTGCCTTCCTGTGGAGCTTTTGTCCGCATCACTTTTTAGGAGGTCAAGGTCTTACTGTGTGGTCAGCTGACCCTGAACTCCTGAGCACAGGGACTCTCCTGCTTTGGTCTCCTGAGTAGCCCGGACTGCAGGAGCGCATCACCACACCTGACTCTAAGCCAGTACTTCTTGTCCTGGGATTGAAGTGCCCTCCAGGGAACTCTGAGGACAGGTGTGTAAGCAAATGAGACCTCTCTGTTTGGCTTAAGTGTCTTTGCCATGGCTCTGCCTCACACACACTGAAAATCACTTAGTGTCCTCCTCTGAGGCCACTGGCGCTGTCTTCCTGTCTCACAGAGCCAGGCAGGCGCCTGCTGTCACACAGCATGGCCAGGGTCTTCCACCAACCCTACCTGTTTGGTGGTTCCTCGCTCCCCGCTTTGCACAACTCTACTCCTTATTGAGTTGTTTCCTGCTGTGTTCTGGTTTTCAAGGTCCCCACCCTAAAAAACAAAAGAACAGATTGCAAAAAATGAAGTATCAGAGCCCAAACACACACAGCCTTTAGTGAATGACACCCAGAAGAATTTTGAAGGATGAGACACACAAAGATTAGATGTTTAGGAGGCACTGGATTCAAGAAACTGCATTTAAGGAACACAGATGAACTGGGCACGGCAGTACCTGTCCATAATCCCAAAACTTGGGAAGCAGAGGCAGGAGGATTGCCATAAGTTTGAGGCTGGCCTGGCCTATGTAGTGAGACTCTATTTCAAACACACACAGATGAGCCAGGCGTGGTGATGCACGCTTGGGATGTCAGCTACTAGCAGGCTGAGGCGGAGGATCACAAGTTCAAGACCAGCATGGCAATTTATCAGAGACCTTGTCTCAAAATAGAAAAGGACAGCGGAGAGTGGGTGTTCATCAGTACAGTGCCTGCCGAGCATGTGCTTTTGAGGTCCTGGGTTTAGTCCCAAGTACCACAAAAAAAAAAACCAAAAAAAAAACAAACCAAAAACTAAATCAAAGCAAACAAGAATGACACAGGTGATTTTTGCTTTGCTTTGTTCTGCAGAAGGAAGGAGGTGTCCTACCGAGGACCAGGATGGGTGACCCTCCAGGCCAGGCACTGCTACCGAGCACAGGGGGCCTTGGGGAGGCTTCCACTCTCCACCTATCACACCTCCCAGGGTTTCATACAAGATGAAATAAGTGAAGTGAGCTGGGAATGGGCTGGGAATCTTATATTCAGAGTCTAAGGCTTAGACGACGGACTTACTAAATGTTCATGTGTTTGTTTTGGTGTAAAGCATCCCTGTCACTAATGAACATGTGTGAATGTCTCATTTTGTGAAGCCATCTTGATTTCACTATCAGGAACTAAGGGTCACTCCAGATGTGACAAACCCCTGGTTCTTTGCACTTTGATCTTTTTGCAGTGTCTAGTTCAGTGATGGCGAACCTTTTAGAGCTTTCAATGATACAAACAGTCTGCTGTGGCATGTGTGTCATAGGTTCTCCACCACTGGTCTAGACTTTCTCCCATTGTGTCCCCAACTTGCCTTTTCCAGGGGAAGGCAACTGATAAGTGGTATCAGGAAATGTCCTCTGCTGGGCTCAGGTTGGGCCCTCAGGGGGCTCACAAGCTTGCGGACAGCCTGGACAACTAAGTGAGACCCTGTCTCAAAACAAAATAAAACAGAACTGAACAGAGCAGAGCAGAGCAGAATAGAACAGAACAAATACACACACACACACACACACACACACACAACAACAACAACAGCAGCAACAAATATGGCCTGGGGTGTAGCTTAGTAGCAGAATGCTTGCCTAGAATGCATGAGGTTCTGGGTTCCACCCCCAGCACCACAAAGTAAAAACAAACAAAAACAAAGAAAGAGAAAGACAAAAAGAAAAGAGATATGTATGATCTTTTAACTTCAGAACGCTAGATGGCCTAAAGAATCTAGAAAATATCACAATTTCAGCTTGTATCACGTTTTCCACTTATCAAAGATAAGAATGTATCAACATGTATCAAATCTTACTGTACATACAGGATTTATGCACACCAGTACTCTTCTGTATTTCCTTCTTGTGTTATAGCTGTTTACATCTTTCTCTGGCATGGCTCTTCATGCGTAGCTGACGCTAACCATTACTGAACTTGGTGGTGTCAGTGTCACTGGTAGAGCAAAGCAGTGACCCCAGGCGCTTGGTATAACAACATGGCGGCGCAGAAGGGAAAATGCAGTCTGCGAAGGCGACAGAATGTTGCTAATGGCTGAAGTTTGACTGACGGTGCTTAGGGATGCGTTCTGCTATTTGACTATGGTGGATGCTTAAAATTTTCCTTAACATCGAGTTAAAAACAAGACTGAATCAGAGTTGCTGGGAAAACAGGACACAAGTCACGGTGAGGGAGGCTTCCAGGTCCCTAGTACAGTGTGTCCTGGCCACGTCCCTGTGGCTGGGGCAGCACACCCGACACCCACACCTTAGAGAAGGGAGCTTACTTTGGCTCACAGGCTCAGCCACGGTCAGGGGGCTCCAAGGCAGGAAGGGCTTGCGGAAGGGCCTGGTGGAGGACAGCTGCTCAACCCACAGCAGCCAGCAGAGAGAAGAGGCACGACGGGCAGCAGCACACAGTCCTCCAGGCCACAGCTTTGGGGCGGGCGGGACCAGCCTCTTGTCACCAGGCCCAACTCCTAGGGCACCTAGGCTGAACTCACTGCAGGAAAACCCACCCACCATCCCTCATTGTCCAAACAGGTGAGACATGGGGGACATTGTAGCCCTAGACCGTGACAATGTGTGACACTCAGCTGGCCACATGGTCCCCAGCTTCACCCCCCTCCCCCAAGCACAGTCTCTGTTTAGTGTCCTGGTCCCTCCAGAATACGCATCCTCCTGGTTCCCGGTGGAGCTTCGGCTTTCTTGGTGCTGATGACTCCTGCCACCTGGTGGCAGGACCTGGAACTTTCTTTATGGAACAGAGGGACCCTGTCGTTTTGGAGGTGCCAGATGTCTGAGAGGCACTGTGCGTCCTAGGGATGGAGCACTGCTCCTCGCTGTGGCCGCGGGGCACCTCAGGCTGTGTTTCTCGCTGTGTAATGGCATTGTTTGCTTCTGGAGTCCAGGCCTTGGACTTTTCGGTTTTCAGTAAGGACAACGTCTCCCATTTGAGGATTTGCAGTGGAAATGAAGGAGTTAGTGTGGGAATTGATTTGTGCCTGGAAAATGACCACTATGGTCACTGCGTTTTTGTTTCTTTCAGAATAGAGTCCTGGGGCACAGGAAGGGGCTTGCAGCTGCCTCTTAGTCCACTGCTTCTTCCACATACTTAGCAAGTCAGATCACGACGCACGGCTCTGCTCCCGCGCCTGCATCCCAGGCAGCTTAGAAGTCAGCACTCACGCTGGGGGGCTTCACGCGTGTTCTAAGCAGTGCACAGCACGCTCAGGTGAATTTCTCTGGTTGCTTTAGTCACTGGGCGTATTAAAGCTGATGGCTCTGGATTCAGCCCCCTTTCAAGGCCAGAGCCTTGTAGCCAGGAGAACACTGCGCCTGGAGTTTCCTTCCCAGGAAACTGTCTGTCTCTGAGCTTGCATTTCCTTTGCTTCTAGAGCCACAGTGGCTGTTACAGGGAGGCACAAGGACCCTTTCTATATTACCTTCTTCCCTTCACAGGCTTTCTAAATCATACCATAACTTCTAGGACCCCAGGGGTTACTAAAACTACCTCGCCCATTGGCGGTGTCCCCTTCTGCTGCATTTTAGCTGACATGTGGCTTCCCAGGAAAAGCTATATTTCTAAGCTTCCTTTGCAAAGCTGGTTAGTGGAAGCGGTGCCTTGTGAGGCAGCTTGGATAGTGTTCTCATAGGGGTGGCTGGAGTCTGCTCCTGGTCGCTTCTGTCATTTCTTCTGTCCTGCTACCGGGTGTGCAGACAGCTCTGTCCCAGGCCTAGAACATAAGGACCGCATCCTGGTGATGCCGAGGAGGGATGTACCAGGAAGAACCTGGATGCCCACAACCTGGAGCGGCCGCTCACACTGCCCAGTTAGGCGTAGCTCCCACAGTGCCTGCCTTGCACTGCGCTCTGCCTCCCACACTGCCAACAGGACTTGGCCGGGAGTGGATCCGTTACCATGGACAAGAAATGGAAGCCTGAATAAACCTCTTTCTTCCTAACTTACCTAGCATATGGTGTTGTTACTAGCAACATGAAACAGACTAAGACAACAGACCTGCTTCCCCTACATCTCCAAAAAAGGTCCCTAAGGTCAAGATTTAAATGCTGGGATAAAAGTGTTAGAAGTATATCTCTAATTTGTATTACTTTTCTGAGCTTCTCTATGTGATATAACCTTTCTGTAATCCTTTCCAGAACATGCCTGGTGTGGTGGCACAGGCCTGTGATCCCAGTACTCGGGAGGCTCAGGCAGAAGGATTGTCCCAAGTTTGAGACCAGCCTGGGCTACAGAGTGAGCTCAAGGCCAACCTGAACTGCATAGTGAGACTCTGCTTCAAAAAAGCCAAAAACGAATAAATAAATAAATCAATGCAGAATATGGCACAGTTCTAGAATAGAACAACTGCCTCAAGTAGTAAGGTAAATTTCCAAAATGCAGTACAAATTGACTGTAGGGAGTGGGCCTGACCTTGATCTTAGAGCTCCCGTTTCTTCAAATATGGGCATGTTGTCTGCATTGTGACTTACAGCTTGGGCTCTGTGGTTATTGCAGGGTGCACATCCGGGCATCATTTCTTGAGGCCTTGGACTCCAGTAAAGGGGAGGGCGGCATTATCTCCTCTGCGGATGGGACAGCTCGCCCAGTGCTGTGCATGACTGGTCCTGGCTGGCTTTTGTGTAATTTTCTGGTGTAGCTTGCTTCTCACTTGCTTGCTCCGGGGTTTTATGGTTACGTTGCCTTCCATTGTTAAGGCTTGGCTTGGAAAAGTTGACATCTATTTGATGGGGCAGATCTCTATAAAGTGAGATCACTCTCCTCCCACCTTTCACTTTTACAATCTACACATGTCAAATGTTTTAAAGCCATTTATCCAAATGCTCCGGCTTTTCCGGGAAAGCCTGCATTTTCACACAGTATGCCGGAAGCCTCTAACCTGGACACATTGCTCTTCCTCCTCTTGGTGCTTGTGACTTCCTGGCTCAGTCTTGAGTGTGTGTAGACTGTCCCTCGCTGAGATATGACTTCAGCTCCAGCCATCTGCATTTAGAGGCTGGGAAGAAGCACAGTAGTAGTGGGGGGACTCGCATGGTCATCCTGGGGCTGTCACTCTTCCTTTGCAAGATCTGTCACCTCCAAATGCCCTGAGAGGTTTGACTTGGGTGCAGAGAGGGAGGCTTCTGTCCTGCTCTGAGTGGCGATGACACTAGTCGTGTCTATGACTTCAGACACTGCTAACATTCTACCTTTCCTTGTGGCTTTCAGGAACCAGGGCAGAGGAAACTCCCCATATAGCGATGCCAG